TCTCGTAGATCGCATATCTATTCTATAAGTATGGATTGCCCAGTATGATCTGACAAACATATAATGGAACGACGTCGCACGTGACCTCGTCAATATACGACTCGTTGAGCGCAAATCTGACAGTGCATTGATCAACTATACTTAGTTTCTCCTCCTTCTGAATCTACCCTAATGGATAGGGCTTCGGATGCTTGACCGTCTTCAGACCCAGCTTCTGAACCAATGCCTTGGATATCAAATTCTTCTCGCTGTCCGAATCAACAATGGCATCAACTAAACTGGTCTTCACTTGCAACTTAAGAACAAAGAGTTGCTCTCTCGGGTCGTCGTCCTCTTTCGTGGTCTGCTTTCTTGTCATAAGGTTAAGACAGCTGTTGGGCTCTGTCATCCTCGGGACTTCTTTCGAACCTTGAGCTATCATGTATGTCTTTTTCTTCTCCTTCTTCTTCAACCCTCTTGGTTTGAGATGATGATACTTCTCCCAACACCAATCAGCTATGTGCCCTATCTTCTCGCAGTGACTACAAATCAGCCCTGCCTTCCCTGGATCACCCTTCTTCTTCTCCTTCTTAGATTGAGAACCACTAGACTCACCTCCCGTCTGTTTGGAGTCTCCCTTAGCCTCGTTGCCCTTCTTTTGCTTGCCCTCGAGGGTAATAGCCTTCACGCCCGCCTCTGCAATTGATTCCATCATGAATAGCTTTATCTCCTTTCGAATATAATCGCTCAATCTCGCCATATACTTCATAAACACGGAATATTCCTCTGTCGCAATGCTGAGGACCATCGCCTGCTGCTGGAACTCCGTGGTGTATTCTTGAATGGTTTGATTGACCCTTTGGCGTAAGCCGTACCACTTGTACCAACGCTCTTCAAGGAATACCACCGGGTAGAATTGCTTCCTCAGTAACTCCTTGAACTTGTTCTATGATACCACCTTCTTCTCCTGCTTGCAGTAGGATTTCCACCACGTCAACGCGTGCCCAGAAAGCTTTAAAGTCGTGAACACAATCTTCACTTTTGACGAATAGCCATAAAGAGTAAAATACGTCTCCATCTGCTAGATCCAGTCATCAAGCCTCTTGACGTCAACACTCCTATCATAAATAGGAATCTCCACCTTGAAGTCAATCTTCAGGTTTTGATAAGAATTCTTACCCCCTTGATGCAATGCAGCCTTAACGGTCTCCTCCTCCTCGTCGGAATCTAAATCTACTCTTTTCACATCAGACTCAACAATTTTCTTCGAAGAAGATTCACCTTGTTTGCCACCTCCATGGATAAGACTGACGAGTTGTGTGAGAGTCGAACCTATCGTCTCGATCTGCTTCTCTAATGCATCAATTCTCGCTGAATTGTCTCCTTCGGCCATCTTCTTCCTCCTTAAAACCTAGACTTCTTCCAATGAAATAAGGATCTCGCCAAGCTTTTTGTATTGTGATCGAGTCAGAACCATACACAAGATACCCCCTTCGCAGGATCTGGTCGATCTGATACCAACTTGATACGAGTTACCATGCGAGCACCCTTTGGTCGTAGAATTACCAAAAGGTGGGTTGAGAAGAAGACAACTAAAACACAGAACAATTCAACTTAGCGAAAGAAAATACCTTCTCTAGATTATGAAGAACAAAAGATTACAATCTCTCCCTCACAATCTCACTATTCTCTAGATTATGAAGAACAAAAGATTACAATCTCTCCCTCACAATCTCACTAGAATCGAGAACAAACCTCTTAATCCTCTCTAAACCCTAATACAATGATTAGAATTTCTCTCTGATCTAAGATCTCTAAGATGATGTTTAGAAACCCTAAACAACCCTCTATATAGGTGTACAAACGTGGATGGCAATCTGGCAAATAACCAGACCAAACCCTAACAGGAATTCGTGCAAACAGAAACCCAAACAAACCAGGAAACCTCCGATGAGTCGACTCATGAATAGTTATGAGTCGACTCATGACCTTATATGAGTCGACACATAACTGATGAGTCGACTGGTCAGAAACTTTTGCTAACAGGGCTTGAGTTCGTGAGTCGACTCATGACAGGCATGAGTCGACTCAACCTGATGAGTCGACTCATGCACATGTATAAGTCGACTCATGAGCTAAAAATTGGATTCTTTGAATTTGCTGCTCGTCGTCTCGTTTCACGCTTCCACTTACGTTCCACTGTACTGTTTTACACCCCTATTCTCATGCTATCATGAGAATCATCTATCCTCAAGCTCCTATGAGGATCGCTAAGTTCCAAAGAGAAGATGCACCCGTATCAACTAGATACCAAGATTGAAGGGGAACAAAAGACTAACAATATGCCATATAAGATTGCAAAGGAGGAGGCTAAGAAAGCAGTCACTAAGGCTAAGAATAAAGCATTTGGAGATATGTATGAGGAGTTGGATACCAAGGAAGGGGAAAAGGTGTTGTTTAGGTTAGATAACATGAGAGAACGAAGTTCCAAAGACTTGAACCAAGTAAGGAGCATCAAAGATGAAGAGGGACAAGTTCTAGTTGAAGAAACCGATATCAAGCTAAGATGGCGAAGATACTTTGACAAACTCCTCAACGAGGCTAGAGAAGGTGAAATAGTATTGGGTGATCTAGAACACTCAGAAGGTTTAGAGACTACAAGTTTTGCGACCCCATATCTTTTGAAGATATGAAGGAGGTAATCCACAAAATGAGAAAGGGTAGGGTAGTTAGGCCTGACGAAATCCCAGTCGAGGTCTGGAGGTGTTTAAGCAGAGGGGGCATGAAGTGTCTGACTAGGCTGTTTAATGTTATTTTCAAGACTGCAATAATGCCAAAAGAATGGAGAGCTAGCCCCAAAGTCCTACTTTATAAGAACATGGAGATATCCAACTTTGTAACAACTATAGAGGTATCAAGTTACTTAGTCATACCATGGAACTTTAGGAAATGGTAATAGAGAAGAAGATGAGGAAGGACCTGACTATGTAGGAGAACCAATTTGGGTTTATGCCTGGGAGGTCAACTACGGAAGCTATTCACTTGCTAAGGAGATTGAAGGAACACTATAGAGATAGGTAGAAGGACTTACATATGGTATTTATCGACCTTGAGAAGGCATACGATAGAGACCCTAGAGATGTTTTATGAAGATTTTTGGAGAAAAAGGGGGTTCATATGGCATATATCAAAGCTATCAAGTACATGTACAAAAGAACCAAGACAAGCATGAAGATAGTGGGGCTAGATATGGAACATTTTCTGGTGGAGGTTGGATTACGTCAAGGATCAGCGCTAAGTCCTCTCCTCTTTACCATTATGATGGATCAACTAACAAAGAATATACAAGGGGAGGTACCTTGGTGTATGCTTTTCGACCCACCCCGGTGACTACACAAACTTCACCGGTGCGAGCCCGGAATATACATCAACAATCACAATATCTCAACTCCTCAGACCCACCCCGGTGACTACACAAACTTCACCGGTGCGAGCCCGGAATATACATCAACAATCACAATATCTCAACTCCTCAGACCCACCCCGGTGACTACACAAACTTCACCGGTGCGAGCCCGGAATATACATCAACAATCACAATATCTCAACTCCTCAGACCCACCCCGGTGACTACACAAACTTCACCGGTGCGAGCCCGGAATATACATCAACAATCACAATATCTCAACTCCTCAGACCCACCCCGGTGACTACACAAACTTCACCGGTGCGAGCCCGGAATATACATCAACAATCACAATATCTCAACTCCTCAGACCCACCCCGGTGACTACACAAACTTCACCGGTGCGAGCCCGGAATATACATCAACAATCACAATATCTCAACTCCTCAGACCCACCCCGGTGACTACACAAACTTCACCGGTGCGAGCCCGGAATATACATCAACAATCACAATATCTCAACTCCTCAGACCCACCCCGGTGACTACACAAACTTCACCGGTGCGAGCCCGGAATATACATCAACAATCACAATATCTCAACTCCTCAGACCCACCCCGGTGACTACACAAACTTCACCGGTGCGAGCCCGGAATATACATCAACAATCACAATATCTCAACTCCTCAGACCCACCCCGGTGACTACACAAACTTCACCGGTGCGAGCCCGGAATATACATCAACAATCACAATATCTCAACTCCTCAGACCCACCCCGGTGACTACACAAACTTCACCGGTGCGAGCCCGGAATATACATCAACAATCACAATATCTCAACTCCTCAGACCCACCCCGGTGACTACACAAACTTCACCGGTGCGAGCCCGGAATATACATCAACAATCACAATATCTCAACTCCTCAGACCCACCCCGGTGACTACACAAACTTCACCGGTGCGAGCCCGGAATATACATCAACAATCACAATATCTCAACTCCTCAGACCCACCCCGGTGACTACACAAACTTCACCGGTGCGAGCCCGGAATATACATCAACAATCACAATATCTCAACTCCTCAGACCCACCCCGGTGACTACACAAACTTCACCGGTGCGAGCCCGGAATATACATCAACAATCACAATATCTCAACTCCTCAGACCCACCCCGGTGACTACACAAACTTCACCGGTGCGAGCCCGGAATATACATCAACAATCACAATATCTCAACTCCTCAGACCCACCCCGGTGACTACACAAACTTCACCGGTGCGAGCCCGGAATATACATCAACAATCACAATATCTCAACTCCTCAGACCCACCCCGGTGACTACACAAACTTCACCGGTGCGAGCCCGGAATATACATCAACAATCACAATATCTCAACTCCTCAGACCCACCCCGGTGACTACACAAACTTCACCGGTGCGAGCCCGGAATATACATCAACAATCACAATATCTCAACTCCTCAGACCCACCCCGGTGACTACACAAACTTCACCGGTGCGAGCCCGGAATATACATCAACAATCACAATATCTCAACTCCTCAGACCCACCCCGGTGACTACACAAACTTCACCGGTGCGAGCCCGGAATATACATCAACAATCACAATATCTCAACTCCTCAGACCCACCCCGGTGACTACACAAACTTCACCGGTGCGAGCCCGGAATATACATCAACAATCACAATATCTCAACTCCTCAGACCCACCCCGGTGACTACACAAACTTCACCGGTGCGAGCCCGGAATATACATCAACAATCACAATATCTCAACTCCTCAGACCCACCCCGGTGACTACACAAACTTCACCGGTGCGAGCCCGGAATATACATCAACAATCACAATATCTCAACTCCTCAGACCCACCCCGGTGACTACACAAACTTCACCGGTGCGAGCCCGGAATATACATCAACAATCACAATATCTCAACTCCTCAGACCCACCCCGGTGACTACACAAACTTCACCGGTGCGAGCCCGGAATATACATCAACAATCACAATATCTCAACTCCTCAGACCCACCCCGGTGACTACACAAACTTCACCGGTGCGAGCCCGGAATATACATCAACAATCACAATATCTCAACTCCTCAGACCCACCCCGGTGACTACACAAACTTCACCGGTGCGAGCCCGGAATATACATCAACAATCACAATATCTCAACTCCTCAGACCCACCCCGGTGACTACACAAACTTCACCGGTGCGAGCCCGGAATATACATCAACAATCACAATATCTCAACTCCTCAGACCCACCCCGGTGACTACACAAACTTCACCGGTGCGAGCCCGGAATATACATCAACAATCACAATATCTCAACTCCTCAGACCCACCCCGGTGACTACACAAACTTCACCGGTGCGAGCCCGGAATATACATCAACAATCACAATATCTCAACTCCTCAGACCCACCCCGGTGACTACACAAACTTCACCGGTGCGAGCCCGGAATATACATCAACAATCACAATATCTCAACTCCTCAGACCCACCCCGGTGACTACACAAACTTCACCGGTGCGAGCCCGGAATATACATCAACAATCACAATATCTCAACTCCTCAGACCCACCCCGGTGACTACACAAACTTCACCGGTGCGAGCCCGGAATATACATCAACAATCACAATATCTCAACTCCTCAGACCCACCCCGGTGACTACACAAACTTCACCGGTGCGAGCCCGGAATATACATCAACAATCACAATATCTCAACTCCTCAGACCCACCCCGGTGACTACACAAACTTCACCGGTGCGAGCCCGGAATATACATCAACAATCACAATATCTCAACTCCTCAGACCCACCCCGGTGACTACACAAACTTCACCGGTGCGAGCCCGGAATATACATCAACAATCACAATATCTCATCTCCTCAGACCCACCCCGGTGACTACACAAATTTCACCGGTGCGAGCCCGGAATATACATCAACAATCACAATATCTCAACTCCTCAGACCCACCCCGGTGACTACACAAACTTCACCGGCACGAGCCTGGAATCAACAATCCCAACCGCTCACATGGACCAAGACTTCTCATCCCAATTCTCGTAATTCCAGGTCAACTATACATGAGATTCTAGATCCTAACGGTGTCATACAGGTCACTATAGTCATAAACTCCTAACGATTCTCAATCACAACAATAAACAATCAATGCAACTAATCATGTGCAATAATATCATGGCATATCAGATAATCAAAATAAGAATTATAAATCATAAACAGCAGCTACATAATTCAGAAAATAATCTTTTTCTAAATTAATTCATTTAAATTATTTCACTTAACAATTAATCTAAACTAATTCATTTTCCAAAATAAATTCTTTTAAATAATTATAATTATCTAAAAATGATTCTTTTGCCGACTAAATTCTTTTAATTCCTTATAATTATTCTGAAAATGTCATTTATCATATTACCATGATATAATTAATATTCTTCAGCAAACAATCCTACGCAGATAAATACGTCACAATTAAACTATGCAAACGATTCATAATAATGTAAATATTCAACTACGAAACAATGAGAGCGGGATCTTGCACGTAATAATTTACGATAAAACTAAGAATTAAATAAAAATAATCAAGGTTCGGGATCTTGCCTCGGGGTTCGTCGAACAAGTCGACGCTGACGACGCGGGTCTGATCTGAGCACGGGTGGAACGCGGCGGCGAACTCGGGTCGACGTCGTTGGTCGACGGGTGGTGGAGGTCTAGCGAGAGGGACATCGTTAGAGGGTTGCTATGGGCTGGGTGCTGCAGGGGGTTGAGTGGGCGGCGGATCTGGGTCGGGCTGCTGGCTGGAGGCAGCCAGGTCGGGCTGGAGTTCGGAGGAAAAGCAGGCGATGGAGGAGCTGGTGCTCGGGCGGCGGCCAAGGGGCTGCTAGAGGTGGTGCACGCGGAGGAGGAGCAGGGCGGCGGCGTGGTCTCAGGCGGTCGTGGACGGTGAGAGGAGGAAGATGAGGGAAGTGGCTGCGGGGAGGGAGCGGGTCGTCGAGCTGGTGGAGGAAGGAGCGGCGAGTGGCGGTGACTTGGTCGGAGTTCGATGGAGGCGATGAGTGCAGGGGGGAAGGCGGTGAATGTGGGTGGGCGGCGGTTCGTGAACAGGAAGAAGAGGGAGAGAAAGATGTTGGTGGCGGCGCTGTTTTTCTCGTGAACAGGAGAGAGGAGAGAGAGATACATATGAAATATATATATATTATATTAGGGTTAGGGTTTAGGGAATTAAACAAAAACAATTAAAATAAATACTATTGGGTACTTAAAAATTAAACTAATTACATAATAATTATCTACAATTAAAAACGGAGAGAGGAGAGAGAGATACATATGAAATATATATATATTATATTAGGGTTAGGGTTTAGGGAATTAAACAAAAACAATTAAAATAAATACTATTGGGTACTTAAAAATTAAACTAATTACATAATAATTATCTACAATTAAAAACGTACATGTTGTGCTATTACAACAGTTGAGACGAAATAGTCTAAATATTCACATATTGTACAATTAAACAAGAATAATTAATAATAAAATATATTTACTTGTATTTAAAATCAAACAATTATGGGATAATTATATACACAGTAAAACGTACT